CTCCCCAGCTCCCTTCTCCTGCTTCGATGGGGGTATCTCATTATGATGCCAAGGCTGGTCTTAGACTCATGAGCTCAAGTGATCTTCCTGAGGATCTGGCTTAGAAGTGGGGATTTTTGAATCAAACATCAGCTGGTTGCCATTCAAAATCTTGGAAGAGGAAATTTATTGTCTGAGAGCACAAAAGGCTCTGGCATTCTGTAGACCATATGGCTAGTCATTCATCATTCATCCAATTAAGATTTACCTATAAAGAATAGGCACTATGATAAAAAAAGATAAACCTCTCTATTTAATGCATCTGCATCTTTTTACATTCTTATTTAACTTTGTATTTGTTTTGTATTTTATTTATTTTTGGTGGTACTGGGGTTTGAACTCAGGGCCTCATACTTGGTAGACAGGTGCTCTAAGTCTTGAGCCACTCCACTAGCCATTTTTTTGTGTTGGGTTTTTTCAAGATAGGGTCTCTTCAGCTATTTGCCCAGCCTGGCTTTGAATGGAGATCCTCCTGATCTCTGCCTCCTGAATAGCTAGGATTACAGATGTGAACTACCGGTGCCCAGCTGTTTTGTATTTTATATAGCAGTCCTTTATTAAAAGGGCCTGGAAGAAAAATATTCACATATTCATAGGAATATAGTCATAGGAAATATTTATAGGAATGAATATTAAGCCGTATGTTCAGGAAGCAGTCTCTGCCTTACTGTATCCTTTGTGGTTACTTTTCTTTATAGCTCTCATGATGAACGTATTTGTCTATTTTTTTTATTATCTGTCTTCCCCTTTAGGCTATCAGCTCCATGGTGGGGTAGGGAGGTGCTTTTTAAAGATATGATTGAATCTCTAAGTCCTAGATCAGTGCCTTGTACCCAGCAAGCACTAAACTAATAGTTGATGATGTATTTTCTTCTCTCTATAAAACAACTGCTTACCTCAAGGCCTCAGTATATATTTTTTAACACTAAAAAACTAGTATCATCACTGATTTTTTTCATTTAAAAAATGACTAAAGCAAGAGATGTTGCATTGGAGACCGTAGCTGTTGTAGAGTGGGATAAGATTTGGGCTAAATAAAAGGCATATGCCTTTTTGCCTTTGATCTGAACCCCAGTTCCTTTTAACTTGGTGTTACCTACCTTCAGACTTTCATACCAGTGAAAAGCCCCTCTGTCTTTTTTCAATATTTGAGGCATTTCCCAGAAAGTTCCGTCAGTCTTGTCTTTGGAGGTAGGCTACTAAATCATATATTTACTCTTTCACTTTCACTGAAGCATATTAAACAAATGTTTGTAAACTACCTGGTGCTGAGGGGATAGTAGGACAATTGACATGTCCCTGCACTCAGCAACTGTTGGTTTCCTGGGGGGAGACTGGATAATTCCAGGATCAAAAGGCCGAGTTTACTAAGTCTGAGAACTATGCGGGGCTCTTCTTGGGCTCAGATGAAGGGGATTTGGGTGTCAGGCGAGGCTTCCTAGAGGACATAGTATATGAATGAGACTACAAAAGACAGAGGGGAAGGTTGCTGGCCTAGCCTAGGGAGCACAGGGCAGTGGGAGTCAATAAAAACAGTTCCAGAGAGGAAAGGAACCATCCATGTGGGGGATGTAGTAGATACAGATTGCAGAAGTGGATTGGAGTTGCTCTGGGGGCCTTGAGTGCCAGAACTATGTAGTTTGTACTTTATCACAAGAGTAACAAGATACTAAAACAAGTTTTGGAGCAAGGATGCTCTATATACGGTGGAATTTTAGAAATATATATTACAGGTGTAATATATATATTATATATATTATATCTGAAGGTAGGTAACACCAAGTTAAAAGGAACTCGGGTTCAGATCAAAGGCAAAAGGGCATATGCCTTTTATTTAGCCCAAATCTTATCCCACTCTACAATAGCTACGGTCCCCAATGCAACATGTCTTGCTTTAGTCATTTTTTAAATGAAAAAAATCAGTGATGATACTAGTTTTTTAGCGTTAAAAAATATATACTGAGGCCTTGAGGTAAGCAGTTGTTTTATAGAGAGAAGAAAATACGTCATCAACTATTAGTTTAGTGCTTGCTGGGTACAAGGCACTGATCTAGGAGATATATATATATATATATATATATATATATATGGGACTGGGATTTGAATTAAGAGCTTTGTGCAAAGCAGGTACTCTACAGCTTGAACCACACCTCCAACCCATTTTGCTTTGGTTATTTTGGAGGTGGGATTTTGTGAACTATTTGCCAGGGCTGGCCTCAAACCATGATCCTCTTGATCTCAGTCTCCTAAATAGCTAGGATTACAGGTGTCAGCCACTGGTGTCCAGTTAGAAATATTATGGTGGCTATGTTCCAGCAGGGCTGGAAGAAGAAGAAATTTAAGGGAGAGAAGTTCGGAGAGTGAGGGACAGCTAAATCGGAGCCTTTGGACTGGGGAAAATGCAGGAAGAAGGAACTGAGAACTTAATGGGTTCACTTGAGAGAGTTTATGAAGGGAAAGTGATTGGGGCTTGGTGACCATGAGGGAAATGCAAGCAGGGGAGAGGAATAATTAAGGGGGATGTGATGAGGGTTCTGTACTTCAGTGCCTAGGAGAATAATGGCACCATTGGCTAAAACATGAAAGTTGTTCTGGAAATTTCACTTGAGGCAAAAGAAGGATCTGTTTAGGATTTAGGCATATAGAGCTAGAGGTGTTGGTAGGACATCAGGTGGACATATCCAGCAGACCATTAGAACCAGCCAGGCATTGAGTGTTCCTCAATATAGTTAGCCTCATTATGCCCAACACTTGGCAAAAAATACTGGCCAAAGGGAATATATAGAGATTATGCTAAATAAAATGTTCAATGTGCTTTTCTTCCTATGTAGCCCAGGCTGGCCTTGAACTCTAAATCACCATCTCAGACCTCCTGAGTGCTGGGATTACAGGTGTAATCCATGCTGAGCTGTCTTGCTTACCTGATTCAATATGCCTCATGTCCTCAGAATTTTCATAGCAGGCTTGTGTGCATTGTGTCACTGTGAGGGTGTGATGTGACCAAAGTGCAACTAGTCTAGATAGTAAGAACTAGGTAGAGTCTAGACTTGTACTGAGACTTGCTCTGTGATAGCCGGTCAACCCCTACCCCTTCTAGTGATAGAACCTGGTCTCTGTTTCCTGCATCTCAGTTTGTGATAGGGAAGATGTAAGGATTCTCATGCATGTTTTAGGGACTGTGACATTGACTCCTTTTGTTCAATCCAAGAAAGACCTTGTACTGGAACCTACATCTCAGCAAAATGCTTCCTAATGGATTATGAAGATAAAAGATACAGCCTTCACTCACCTGATTTCATAACTTCTGCTTCCTTTTATTTTCCTTTCTTTTTTTTGGTATTAGGGTTTGAACTCAAGTCATTATGCTTGATAGACAAGCATTCTACCTCTTGAGCCCCAGCCCTAGCAAGTGTAGCCCAGATCTTGAACTCACAACCCTCCTGCCTCATACTTTTCACCTTGTTGTTTACTATAATGGGTCACCATGACTGGCTTCTTCCTTTTGAGGCTGTCTTTCATCTTCCTCTGAAATTTGTTTTCCAAGGATTTAGCATATTAAAAGCAGGGAGTGGAGCAAAGTTTGCTCACTGTTACATGTTCAGCAGGGTTCATCTCCAGGGAGAAAGCTCAACCAACCAGGAAGGAAAGTGATCAGGGCAGGGCCTTTGACACCTCTGAGGGCCCAGCCAAGCAAAGCCTATTCATTAAGATAGTGCCAACACACCAGTCTGGACAAAACCAGTCCTAGCTGATTTCCAAGCATCAGCCTGGAAGATGACACCAACATTTTCTGAGGGGCCTAGCCTGCCATTAGGTGACTCAGTGCATTTCCTAGCACTTCAGTCCAGAAGCAGGAAAGCCATGGTCTACAGGAAAGCCATCATTAATCACCTCCCTGCCTGAGATCTCATCAGTTAGAGGACATCTCCAACCAGGGAAGCAGAGTTGTAGAGTTTCTAAAATGTCCCAGGCTACTGGCCTTGGAGTAAGAACTGTTTGGCTTTAAATCCCAGCTCTTCCAGGTCTCATTTACAATATATAAAACAGAGGTAAGAATTCCAGCCTTACAGGCTTGCTGTGAGGATTGAGGGAGGTAAAGTATGAAAAACACTTAGCACAGTGTTTCAGCCTGATAAAGTGTTAATATTCCCCTTTTTAGAGTGTCAGTGTAGTAGTGGGTAATACAGTAGTTGGGTTACTGGAGTTAGACAATTCAGACTAGGTGAACTTGAATCTTAAGCCCACCTCTTTCCAGTTGAGTGATCTTGGGCAACTTGGTCTCTTTTCTCATTTGTACAATGGCGGTAACATATGGGATCATTGTGAGGATGAAATAATGCAGACCAAATGATTGGCACAATTGCTGGTATGTACAACAAAAGTGAGTTATTTTTTCAATCTAGACGTCTTCAGAGTCTAAGGGACTACATGCTATCCTTCTCCGAGCTTCATTGATTTGGGTATCTCTTATAACCCATTTTCCTCAAAAGTGTAACTGGGCTTCCTAGGCTCGCCTTGCTCTCACCTTGAGGCGTGTCGTGCACGTTGTTGTGTCCGTAAATCCCACAAAACCAGCCTAAGAGCACTGATACTAGAATTGCGTTATACATGATACAGCAAAAGTTACTAAAAATTTTAAAACTGCTTTCTTCCTTTAAGTTTCCCTTCCCTGAACACTTGCCCATCCTTAAGTGTCTGGCCTTCTTGAGGTAGTACCCCATCCGCCCAGCTTTCCCCTCCCAGTTTCCTAGGGCATCACTTTGCCTAAAGGTAGTTACACGAGACCCTACCGATCTAGAACACTTACTTGCACGGCAGGAGGCGCATGCGTAGAAGGACACCGCCTGCCTGACGTCAGCGCGTCGGTCTCCGGCCCGCCTCCTGTGACGTCGGCTCCCCACAGCCCCGCTGCGCGCGCCCGCGCACTCCTGCGCATGCTCACGGCTCCGCCCTCCCTGCGTCACAGAATGGCCTCGGACAGCCAGGCAGCTCCTGACGTGTCGGGGAGGAGCCGGGCGCGGAGGACCGTGCAACGGAGCTTTGGGCGGTGGAGGGGAGCGGAGCTGAGCGGCTGGGCGGGCCTGGCCAGGCCAGTGGAGCAGAGACGTCGGTCGAGCCGCGGCGAACATGCGTTTTTGACACATTGGAGGTGAGACAGCCGTGCGGCGCCACTCCCGGGGAGGCCCGAGCCGGGCCGGCGGCGCCGAGGCCTGTTCCTGGGGAGCCTGTCCCGGCCCGGCGGAGCCTCCAACACAGTCCCGGGCCGGGCCAGGACTGGGTTCTGGGGTGGCAACCCTGGGGGCGACAGTTCCAACCGCTCTAACTGTGCTTACCCGGTCCTGGTCCGAGGTGTGGCCCACCAGGGCCACCTGCAAGGGAGGTCGGTGACTTCCAGAGGATGTGCTCCCGTTCTGGGGTGGGGACGGAGGCCGGGACGTGGCACGGTGGACCAGGGCGCTGGTGGCGCAAGGAGTGGCCCAGAGGGACGTTGGCAGCGGCGTGCCCAACCTCCTCCAGCACCCTACCCCCAGTCCCTTTAGCCGCGCGGGTTGTTAGAAACCGGCTTGGATTTTGATCTGTGTCCCCCGGGGGAGGGGGCGAGAGCCGGAGCAGCCCACGTTGGGCTTGGGTTGGCATTCCCGTGACTTACGGCCCCGAACTGCTAGTCGCTCCCTCCCTCTCCCCTCCCCGCCCCTTGGAGCTCCGGAAAGTGTCACCCATGGGCTCGGGTTGCTCGGGTTCGCTTCTTGTTTTTGCTGGTAAGCGAGGAGGTAACCCTGTAAGTTTTGCCAAGGAAGTGAGGGTTCTTTCACTAATTCCCATTTCATTCCCGTAGCGCCTTTGCACATTTCAGAATATTTGCTATCTACGGTTGTGTCGGAGCCTGTTGTCTTTGCTCGCAAAGGGGAAATTGAGCCTAGTTTTGGGGGGGGGGCGGTAATTAAGTGATTTATGCTTGAGTTCACCCAACTGGTGAAGGTTTAGCTTGGCTAACCTCTCTCTCTCTGTCTTTTTGGTGCGATTTTTATACTCTTCACAGCTAGAAAGCAAGTAGACTATTTGACTTGCCAAAGATATACCTGAAGCTAGTGGACGACTTATTCAATTATTTTTAAGCATACTCACCTAAGAATTGTTCCATTATGAGGAAAGTCTTACTCTGAAGCTTGTTGATGAGTGGCTGGTTATTTTGTCTTGATAAATTATTTTCAATGCACTTAAGAGATAGGGTAATGTTTCTGCTAAACAATAAAGTTGATAGGGGTGAAATGTGCCATTAAGTCACAGAGAGAAGCAAAAGGTCACTGAGTGAGGAGTCTCTCTCTTCTGAATTATTATTAAAATTGTTATTTATAAAATGCATAAAGAATAAAGAAAACCTTTAGCTAACCCTGACTAGAGGTTGACCTGATCCACATAGATGTTAGTAAATCTTCTGAAGCTGTAGTTTTCCTTTGACTTGTATTTTTTCTTGCCGGTTCTGGGGTCCAGAACTCAGGGCCTCACACATGCTAGGCAGGCACTCTGTCACTTGAGCCACTCCACCAGCTCTCTTTTGTGATGGGTTTTTTCCAGATAGAGTTTCAAGAACTGCTGGCTTCCAACCACGATCCTCCTGATCTCTGCCTCCTGGGTAGCTAGGATTACAGGCATGAGCCACTGGTGCCTGGGTTATTTTGACTTTTTAGTTTAAATTGGATAGGGAGTGTTTCAAACAAATTAGAAACCTCAGTAAAAACTTAGATCTTGCCTTCATGACATCTACAAAACTTATTTTATTTTCATTTTAAACTATGCTCAGATAAATTAGATTACTAAAGCTTAAATTTACTTCTGATGTAAGTTTATAAGAACTCTGTAAGTAGAGAGATAAGTTTGTTAGGACCAAATGGGAGAGACCATTTTTATGGTTGACTTTGAAATGCTAATTCTGTAAATGCCAGTTTTGAGAGAAGAAAAAGAATTTCAGTTAAAAGGCATGTATTACCTATAGGGAGTTAAAATCTTTGCCAGTCCACTCTACGGTTGTTAACAAGAAGACATAACACATAAAACAAATTTTCTTACCAGTGTACAGAGTAGTTGCCTTGTAAGTAAGGCATTTTGGACTGGTTGGTTTAAACCCAAGTGAGTTAATTGTCAGTTGTTAGATGCCTGAAGGTCATACAGAATATGATAGTGCCTGATGTAAAAGCTGTAATTTTGAGACTCTTATTCCATCCATATGAGACATGGTATTAAGGAAGATTGGAAGAAGCAAATACTTAATTATCTACCTCATTCCATTTTCAAAGACAGTAGATCTACCCATTTAGGCATTTTTTTTTAGCAGTATATTTTTCATTACTGGCTACCTTTCTGTAGATTTAATATCTCCAGTTACATAGTTTCAAATACAGACTGAACATACTCTCGCAACGTAATTTGAGGCAAACTGAACACACTGTCTTTACAGACCCTGGAACAGTCTTGTGATTATCTGCTGTGGTAGCACATTTTTGTTATTTGTGAAGAACCTGGTTTAAAAAGGGTAAGTGTGAAAAAATAGAGTAATAAAGCTGGTTAATGCCAGTGAGAAAGCAATAAATAAGAAGTGTGACCACAGAGAAAGAAGTTTTTGCTTAGTTTTTAATCTGGCTCATAAAGGCTATTCCAAAAGAGAAATTTTAGAAATGTTTTCAGTAATGATGGTATCACTGGAATGTGAACATAGCTCCCTTAAGTGATTAATTGTTCAGGAATCATTTGTATGTTTTAATTCTGAAGCGTATTTACTTTGTGGTAAAACTTCAAAGGTCCACTACTGAATTACCATTTTTTTTAATGTAGTGAACATTTATGCTATGTTTACTACATGCTAGGCTTTGTTTCCAGTTCCTTTATGAGTAGTAACTCGATCTTCATAACACAGTCTCTGTTTAGTATTTATTCCCATTTTATAGGTGAGGAAATGGGGCACGGAGTAGTTGAGTAACTTGCCTGAGGGCACCAACTAGTCAGTAGAGATGCCTGATTTTAAACCCAGTTGGTTTGGCTTCAGGATTTGGGCTCTTAACTACTGTGCTATGCTGTTGCTTCTCTGACTTTTTCTTGGTTAAATGCTTTTAATTGGTTTGTTCCAGAAAAGATGGACATTTTAGTAAAAGATTTCTGGAATAGGTTATAATACAGTTTGAAGGGCCAGTTTGAAGGGCCAATACAGTTTCGGGTCAACTTTTCTGTTGACAAGAAAAGTTCTGGGGTTCCATTTTTTTCTATTTGCTGTTATAACCTTTGAGGGGTTTCTTTGATGCTCCTAGGGAGCAGGTGCTCTCTCTGAGAATAGAAACCACAGCGCCCCCTGGAGGATTTCCCCAGTGGCCTAGCATTACAGTGACTTACCAGTCAGACTGTCCCCACACAAGAAAACGTCCTCCCAGGGAACAGAGAAAGTCTGTGTTCTTCTTCTCCTGGGCTACTGAGAACAGACCTCTACCTTTCACCAGATCCTCACACTTTTAGGACATGTGACTCTGGGCCCCATCCTGGCAGGTCCTCCAGACCCTGTGGGGGCAAAGAGAAATTAAGCAACTCCCACAGTAAGATCATGGTTTGCCCAGTTGCAATCCAGTGGGATCACTGAGAGCTTGTACATTCAAAGATGAGGGAAAAGTAGGTGGCTACACAAATGGACTGAAACATGCTGATATGGTCCCTTGTCAAATTACACATGGGGGTGACTGTCTACCATAGAGTGGTTGTTCCAGGTTATTTCAATTTGCAAGAACTGGAGAGAGAGAGAGAGAGAGAGAGAGAGAGAGAGAGAGAGTGTGTGTGTGTGTGTGTGTGTGTGTATTACTTATGGTCAAATAAGCATGGGTCAGAGCAATTTTGTTACCCTGATACTCTGTGGGGAAGGAAGGAGGAAGAAAATAAGCGAACTCTTTGTTTCTTCCTTCCCAAATCCCTTTGGTGATTATATTGAAAACACCAGTCTGGCATTAAATAAAATCTCTGCAGTCTACAAAAAAAAAAAAAAAAAGTTGTGGCCAATATTCTGCTCACATAATGCAGCAAGAAAATTTAAGAATCATGTGTGAAATAAAAAATTCTAAAATAATTTTGCTAGAATTATTTGACACCAAAGTAGTTGGATGAAGAGAATTCAAGAGCTAAAACTAGATCCTCACGAGTTTCATGCAAAAAACTACTTAAAACCTGTGTCATCAGGGGACAGTGATGGAAAAGTTGGGTCATTGCATTAAGAATATGTGTCTTTAGGTCACAATTATGTGCCATACATTTCAGACAGCTAGAAGGATTTTGGAAGTTTCACCACAAAGAATTGATAAGTGAGATAAATACATCTAACCTGATTTAAACAGAATTCAATGTGTATATCAAACACCACATGGTACCCATTAACATGTATAGCTTTTATGGGTTTTTTTGTATCAGTAAAAAAAAAAAAAATGCCCCTGTTTAAAAACCAAACCAGATACCAAGTGGATACTTTACAGCATACCCAGAGGTGTAAACAGTGCTGTTCCCCCAGGGATCACTGATTATTTAGGTGTTCTTCAAAGCAATGACTGCCAGTAAGTCCTGTGATTCTCTATACATGGGTCTGAAACAACAAAAAAACCACCCTACTCAGAAAAGTTTCAGAGTGAGCATGTGAAATGTGAATAACATCTATAAATAAAACAATCTTGACTTTATTTGTAGGATTGGTTCCACATTCAAATGCAGTACATTCAAATAAATGTTAGATGTTAAGGAAGGCATCTGACAGTCACTAGGAACTTCTTAAGGGCACTGGCCCATGGACCACACGGTCAGCAATATTTTTGTGTTTTTGGTGGAGCTGGGGTTTGAACTCCGGGCTTCACGCTTAGAAAGCAGGTGCTCTACCATGTGAGTTATATCTCCCATAGTCAGCAATATTATCAAATGCTGCCTAGTCTGAAAGAGTACAGAAAACTCAAGAGACAAATTATTCTACCATTGAATGAAGTGTCCAGCTTCAGAAAGTAGGTACGTAATCTAAGGGCTGTCTAAAGTAAGGAGGCGAGAATATTTAGGGGACTGAGATGGCTGCCAGATGATTATAGGCTAAGAAAGCAAGAAGCATTCACTTTGGATAGACCAAGGCTGAGACATATTATCATCAGAATTTACAGAAATCAGAAAGGGGATAAAAAAAGGAGAATATAAGCTTGTTTACCAAATCCTGGAACCTCACAGCAGAGCAACATATGAAAAAACAAATTCAAGATCAAACATACATAGGAATTCATTGATGACTATAAAGTTATAGAACTTATCCCAGTTGCTTAAAATAATATAAAATCAGTAAATACAATTTTAAATTTGAAATCATTAATTAAAAATGTTTCATTAAAGGACCAGAACTTTCTTATGTTGCTCCCTGTGCCAGGTTTTTTTTTATGGCTGGGGATCAAACCCAAGGCCTTGTTCATATTTGGCAAGTGCTCTATCATTTAGCTACATTCATTCCTAGCCCCTATTTTACCAAGGTTTTCAACGGCTCTTTTTCTTTTTCGTGGTGATAATAGTATTTGACCTCAGGGCCTTGTGTTAACTAGGCAAGCACTCTACCACTTGAGCCATGCCTCCAGCCCTTTTTGCTTCAGCTTATTTTTCAGGTGGGTCTTGTGCTTTTGCTGGGGCTGACCTTGGACTGTGATCCTCCTCTTACTTCTGCCTCCCATATAGCTGATATTATAGTTGTGTACCACCACATTAGCTTGGTTTTTGAAATGGGGGTCTTACTAATTTTTTTGCCCTGGCTGGCCTCCAGTGGCCATCTTCCTATCCACCTCCCACATAGCTGGGATTACAGGCATGAGTCCCCACACCCAGCCCCTTAATTGCTCTGTTTTTAGTTGACAGAAGTGTAATGTGTCTTCACTAGAAACTCACATAAGCAGCTTCTCATGTCACATATTATATGGAATTCCCTCTTTTTCTTGGAGCCATCTCTCTGTCTGAGCTACTCTCTGGGCCTAATGAACTAGGCTTCATTCTGGGACTTCTCTTTGTTGCATTCCTGGGTAGGAACCCTGTGTCCTGCATTCTGTTCTATTTCTGTCATGGTTTTCTCTTCTTTTGTAGCTGTTTCCATAAATGTGTGAGAGGTAACCCTGCTGAGGTCTTGTATGAGAAAAAATGTTCCTCACTTCCTGAATTACTTCTTTCCTCTCAGTTTGGTAGGTCCTAGGATTTTCTTATGCATGCTATAGGGTCTTCCATTTGTTTGGTGATTCTTGGTTGCCCACTTCCATTTAAAACTGAAGGACTGGATATGATTGAGTACTGGTATGCAGTGGTTTCTTCAAGATTCTCCCCATAAGTCTCATCGACTTCTTGTTGTTGATGGGGAGCCTGCACAAGTGACAGTGAATATAGGTTGGCAGCATCAGATTGATGATTTTGTGCAACCGGGATATAGGTTTTGTACTCATAATTTAGTATATGGTGGTGCATTGGGAGGTAGAAATAAACTACCCACAAGATTTTTTGCTTACTCAGTTTCTTTCTTTTCTTTGTACTGGGGTTTGAACTCAGGGTCTCAGGCTGACTAGGCACTCTAACACTTGAGCCACTCTGCCAGCCCTTACTCCATTTCTGAAGGAGGAATTCTGATGTTAGTGAAAGAAAGTGGTGCTTTGAAGTAAAGAGGGAGTAGGAATAGGAGTGAAGGAAAGATTATAAATCAGTCCAAGTAGTGTTTATTGAACTTACTATGTTCCACATTTCTGGTGATGTGGAAGACAGACAGATCTATAAATAAGGCAAAGATCCTGTCCTCAAAGGAACTAGCTAGAGAGACTTAACCTTACATTCCTCTTCAACTGATGATGAAGGTAGAGTTAATGCAGAACTTTACTTGTGTCATCGTTAGTCTTCATAACATTTTGCAGAACCATCATTTATTAGATTGTGTAGCAGGAATTGAACATTTGAGCTGCACTTTTTTTCTTTTTTTTTTTTTTTTTGTGGGACTGGGGTTTGAGTTTAGGATTTCAATGCTTGCAAAGCAGGCGCTCTACCACTTGAACCACACCTCCAGTCCATTTTGCTCTGGTTATTTTGGAGATGGGGTCTTGAGAACTAATTGCTTGGGCTGGCCTGGAGCTGTGATCCTCCTGATTGAGCTGCACTTCTACACATAGTTGCCAGTGTTCAAATGGTAGCATCTATCCAAATTTATGGACCCGTGTTCATGAGCTTATAACCAGCTCTTTAGGGTTGGATTGGGGTTATTTACATTTATTTAAATGCAATCACAATTTTGGGGGGGCATCTTGGGAAAGAGCTTACCTAGAGCATTTAAAGGACATAGGAATTGTTGCTTCATCTCTAGATACTACCTTACTTGTCCTGTAATTGTGCCTTTATCTGGATTGTTAAAATATGTCCCTCCCCTGAAGGAGACTGAGGTGGTAAACTCTGAGGTGTTACTGATAGCATATGATGATGCCAGTAAGTACTTTAGATCTTTTGAAAAACAAATATGTCTTGGTGCTGAAGACCCTCATCCCTCTTCATACCTTTCTGCAAATCAAGCTAGTTTCAAATAAGATTACCTATACATCTGGGAAAGTGAAGTGAAAATGGGAAACTGATGGTGGGACAGGATTACAAAATCAGTCAGTATTATTTATTAATCAGTACACATACTTGAAGAAACATAAGTCATCTAGGGTAGCCCAGACCCTCATTAAATGAAGAACTGACGCCCTAAGAGATAAAGCAGTTTGCTTAAGCAATTTCATGGCAGAATTGGAGCTCTAGAACCCCGTTTCAGCAGGGCTGGGATTAACATTTTAAAGTCCTGTCATGCTATAAAGGTATATCCAAGAATAGAATGATATAGACAGTATGTGCTATGGGACGGGTAATCAGTGCCTAACAATATCTGCTACCTACTAGGTACTCAGTAAATGTTTGCAAACATTAGGTGCTGTTTCTGAGCAAGGTGCTATGCTCAGTGCTGGGAAGGGATACAAATATGTCCAGGATTCATCGCTTTCAAAGAACTTTCAGGTTGGTTGATAATTAAAGATAACTGGAAGATTGATTAACAGATGTGAAGGTAATAATAGATAATCAGGAAAGACTTGTTTAAGGAAGAAATATTTGTGCTAGGGTATGGGTCAAGTGGTAGCTTGCTTGCTTAGCATGCTCAAGGCCCTGAGTTTAATCTCAGTACTGCCTCTTTCCCTGACCAAAAAAAAAAAAAAAAAAAAAAAGCAGTAGGCAAAAGGAATTAAGCTTATAAAATTAATTTTTGGTTTTATTCCATTAAAAACCACTCTTACATCTCTTTGATATATCCACCCTGAAACTCCAGTTTTCTATTTATTCTTGTCTGTGACTGAGTCCTTGCTATTCAAGAGTGGATTGTGTTAGATGAATTCCAAGTTCTCTACATCTCTAAGGCTTCATTGATTTACTTTTAAAGCTGGTTTTGAGTCCTTGCTGCTCAGTATGGATTAGGTTGAGGCAATTATGGTTTAATTCAGTGTATATTATTGAATATCTACTATTGCATGGTCATTGTGCTGGGACAGAAATAAGAATGGTATACAGCCTAATAGGGGGCACAAAGGTGTAAGCAAATGCATTGTTATATGGTAAGGATATCATTGAAAGATGCATGTGTGTGGGGAGGTAGAGGTAGCCAAGAGCACATCAGATTTTAATGCTCTTCAGGTGAGGGCAAGAAAGGCTTTCTAGAAAAGATGACAGCTTTGTGTTAAGGAAAAATAACTTTCCAAATGCAAGCAATCGAGAGCCATTCCAGGCAGAGAAACCATCCAGACTTGAAGTAGCGTGGTGTGTTAAGACAGTTTTGAATAGTATTAATGGAATATAAAGTAGGATGCTGGAGAAAAGAGTGTTGAAGGAAACAGTCTTTGGTGTTCCATTTGGTCTGATAATCAGTTGGGAGTTTTAGTTAACTAGTTCAAATGCAAGGTTAATTAAATAGATTCCCCTTCCTCTACCTGCCCTAATGCCATGGGAGAAGAACTAAGACAAAAGATCATGGAAGTTGGAGATGAGTGAACCTTTAGAGGAAGCTTTGGACCTAAAAGATAATTAATAGGAAGTTTATAAATGTGGTAGTAGTAAATTGTTGGGAATGTGGTGCCTGATCTTTTGGAAGTGTTGTTCAGTAGGGAAGAGCATGCAGTAGCAGCATCTCTGACATTATGCGTGTTTTGGTCACCTGATTCCCAGAACACCACTTGACCAAAAACCAGCTGCTGGAACTGTGTGCAGGCTGATTTTGTGGGGCGAAGGCACAATCCAGTGCTGTAACTGACAGTGCCCCACTGGCTTTGTACCAAAGGACTTTGTTTATCTGTCTCCTGCCATGACCTCATCAACAATATTGGTTGTCCCTGCGTGGGGCAATGAAGTGCTAATAACTCCCAGAATCTTTCAGATTAACTCCTTCTGAAACGCTGCAGATTAATGTCCCAGATTTTGTACATTTACTTAGATTCCTATGTTTTCTACTATATAACAGTTTATTTTTAATATTTCATAGGCTTTCTTGATCATGGATGGTGAAGATATACCAGATTTTTCAAATTTAAAGGAAGAAACTGCTTATTGGAAGGCACTTTCCTTGAAGTATAAACAAAGGTAATGTTGAAAAGCATATGAAAAATAGGAGAGGGCATTTGGGACATACCATGTCCAGCTTGTACAGTTTTCTTTAAAACATAAAGCTAAATTTAGACTTAGGATTGTGTTTCCAGAAATAGTCATAACATTGCTTGTGCTTAAATAGTATAAAAATGCCATAAATCTTTATATTGTTCAAATTATTAAAATAGGAGGAAACATTAGTGTCATTTATGATTTCTTTTCTCTCCTGTTATGTTTATTACCAGCCTGAGTCCTCTTTAGCTTGCTGTGTATGTACTGGTTTTGCCTCATCATTTGCTCATTTGGAAATTCTTATAACGGACTTTAGTCCTCTTTAGGCATGCATTATTAGTATCTGGAGCCAGCTGACCTTTGAGGGAAGATGATGAACTTCAGGGGTACAGAGCCCTTGATAAAAATCTCAGTTATTTTATTTAGTTGGGAAAACTTATGGATAATAACCCCTTCGCAGCTAAACTTGTTTTAAATTTCTTTTTTTAAAAATGAATCTTTCTGAAATACTTATACATTTTCCTACGAGAGTTAGCCAAGCTTTATCAAACCTCACTGCTTTTTTCATTGTTGTCACTGAGCCAATTATTCTGTTATGCAAGTGGGTATAGGTGGTATGCAACCTTGGCAGGGGATCTTCATTTGTGTGTGTGTGTGTGTGTGTGTGTGTGTGTGTGTGTCTATGTGTGTTACAGATGCTTTTAAGGATAGGAAGCTTATGGCCTCTTCTCAGAATGTCTTTATTAAGTTAAATTAATGAGTTATTTAATTAATTTTGGTGGTATTGGGGTTTGAACTCAGGGCCTCACACTTGGCTACCACTTGAACTATTCTTCCAGTCCTTTTTTTTCGTGTTGGGTATTTGGATCTCTTGAACCATTTGCCCAGGCTGGCCTTGAACTTCCATCTTCCTGATCTCTGCCTCCCGAGTAGTTAGGATTACAGGCAAGAACCTGGCCTCAGAATGTTTTTAAATGAATAAAATTAAATAATAGAATTAAAGAGGAAACTAATTAAATTAAAAATAGTTAACTAAATATTAAGCTAACTTGTGGTGTTAAAATAATGTATTATTTGTGCATTAAATAAAAAAGATCTGGGAGGAGTGTAATAACTACCTAATTTAGAATTAGTGATGAGAATAAATGATATTTAGAGATATCTGTACCAACTACTGATATGTGAGCTTGTCTGTGATTTCTATTAAGCAGAATTGAAAGTGAGTCACAATTTAAGTAACTTTAGTGAAAATAAAGATGCACTCTTCCCTTCTGTCATTTAAGTTCCGTGGAGGAAAAGCTAGTGGTATTAACTATATAGGCTTATGTTTCATAAACACTGTAATCACTGATTTGTGAGTTTTTCGTGGGCTTACAACTCATTTTGTCTAATCCTGAAAATTCTAAGTAAATACAAAAGTTTACCATTTTTTATGACAGCATTAGATTTCAGGCAGAAATTATTGAGTTGATACATAATTATTTTGATGATGATCTTGTGATTCTAACTATTTCGTCATCTTTCCCATTTTGTTTCTGACTAGCTTTCAGGAAGCTCGGGATGAGCTAGTTGAATTCCAGGAAGGAAGCAGAGAATTAGAAGCAGAATTGGAGGCACAGTTAGTACAGGCTGAACAAAGAAATAGAGACCTGCAAGCTGATAACCAAAGACTGAAATATGAAGTGGAGGCATTAAAGGTAACTGTGGCAGTTGAAGCTACTGCAGTGGGCATAGTACTGGCTAATATACTGTTAAATGAGATACATATTTTTCAATTGGTGCTTAAGAGCAACAGGCAACCAAAGAATATAAAAGAAAGGCTTAAGGTGAAATTTTTGAGATGGTTTTACTGTGCTGCCTAGGCTAGCCTTTTTTTTTTTCAAATGGGACTGGGGTTTGAATTTGGGGCTTTGCATACTTGGAAAGCAGGTACTCTACCATTTGATCTACACCTCAGTCCATTTTTCACTGGTTATTTTGGAGATGGGGTCTTGTGAACTATTTGCTAGGCTGACCTTGAACCTCTGTCCTCCTGGTCCCAGCTTCCCAATATCTAGGATTATAGGTGTGAGCCACTGGTGCCTGGTTTAGGCTGGCCTTGAACTCATGTTACTCCTGCCTCAGCCTCCCAAGTGCTGGGATTATGGGCATTTAGGGTGAACTTTTTTTTTTTTTAAGTGGTGCTGAGCATTGAACCCAGGACTGTTTGCAAGTTAGGCAAGTTCTTTGCCACTTGAGCTACGCCCCAACCTTCATTCAGGAACTTTATGGCTGTCAGTTTTCTAGCTATAATGTTCCTACTTGTATTATCTTATAGCTCTTATAATTTTCAAGAACTATCTGATTATCTTGACAAATTGTTTGCCTCGTTGTTTAGTACTTTAAAATTTTATTTATGTGAATTACATTTATTTCATTATTGTTCATAATTGCTTCAGTTTTGGAATTTAATTTGGGTTAGAAATTTCCCTTCAAAATGGAATTTTTAGAAGTAAAAGAATTAACCCTTTTCTGTGCTCTTCCTCATCTGCCATAGCCAAATGCTCAGGAGTATTTCTGAAGGGAGTGGTAGGTTTATGCAAGGAGGAGGGCAGGTAAGGGGTAAGAGACTTGAATGTCTTCCATGCTTACCCTGAGTGGGCTGCACTCAGCTTGAGAACATAGAGGTTTCCCCACCAAGTTTGAGGATATTGAGGCAAGGATTTCATTATTTTACTTCTTTTCAGAGAGATCATTATTAGATTTCTTTCTGAGAGAATGGTCAGCTGTCTAAATTTTATATGAGTTAAGGTACTTAGAATGAATGTGTCCATTTCGTAGTTTTTTATTTTTTCAGTATTGTAAAAAAGGAGAGGGAGGAGTACCATCAACTCAGATTGAGGGACAATTTCTTCAACCTTTTTTTTTCTTTAACTTCTTTTATTAAAAAGAAGACTATGTGTGTTGTGTATAAGTGTATGAAAGTAGAACAATGAAACCTGCTGAAATTGTACTAAGAAGGGGGGAGAGAGATGAGGGAGAATGATAGAGGGGAGCATCTAATTAAGATACATTGTAAGTATATATGTCAAAATGAAACCACCTTGTACAGTTAATATGTGTTAATAATAAAAAAAACCCCCAACCAAACAAAAGAAGACTATATATTGACAAGCACATTTTTTTCTTCTGTATGCTTATGTCTTCAGGAGAAACTAGAACATCAATACGCCCAGAGCTACAAGCAGGTCTCAGTATTAGAAGATGATTTAAGTCAGACCCGGGCCATTAAGGAGCAGTTGCATAAGTATGTGAGAGAGCTGGAGCAGGCCAATGATGACCTGGAGCGAGCAAAAAGGTAAAAGTGGTGTGCCTGTTGTGAGAATAATCAGTGATTAAGATTACTTCTCACCTAGATCTTAGGACAGAACTCTTCCCTTTGCTATTTTATGTTATCTGTAACTCATTGGATTGAAAGGGACCAAAAATCCTTGTTTCCCTAGATAGTGTCCTCCCAAGTTTTTCTTTTAATTTTTACTTTTTCTTCTTTCATGCACTGTTGTTTTCATGGTCCAGTTTTTTCTTTAAGATGTGTCTCACATATCCCTCTATCTTCTCTCTGTATTCGTAGTACTACCACACTTTCTGTAGGTCCTCATATCTTAAACCTGGATTCTGCAGTTATCTTCTAGTGAATCTGTCTTTATATTTTGATTCTTTTTCATTTTCTTTTGCTTTAATATTGAACAATGGATTTCCCCCAAATACTGCTTTCATTGCAGATTTCCTGAATAACCTACAGTGGCTTGTTATTACTATTGCAAGTTTTCATGTCTCTGTAATTAGTTGTTTCTTAGTCAGGCCAAATCTCATTCCTATTACTTTACAATTATTGCCTGGTATTTCTTTCCTTAATATTTATCAAGTGACACATAAGTGATTGATATGATGCTGGGGTTGAGGATATAGAGCTATGCTGGTCACTGTGCTAGGGGCTGACAGATAAGAACATTCACTATGACAAATGCTCTAGTAAAAAGAATGCACTGGCTACTCCAGGGCATGGAGGAGGGAGCAGCCAGAGCACCTGTGGTAACTTGGGAAGCCTTTGCAGATGTTGGAGCTGAGTCAGCAAGGAGGAAGAGAAGTTGACCAAGTGAAGAGACAGGTGCAGAGGCAGGGAGGCAGGAAGGTGCTTGAGGTATTTGATAGTTTACTTTGATTGACAGGTCTGGGATAGCATGGCTGAACAGGTGAGACTGGAAGATGCTTGGGGCCAGGTTGTGAAGAACCTGTGTGCTATGTTTGAGAGTCACTCTATAAGCAATGGGAGCACTTTAAGATTTTTTTTTTTTGAATAAAGGAATAATACCAGATTTTGATTTGAGAAGATAATACTGAGGAATTGGAGGTAGGGTGGAGATATGAAGACCATTAAGGATTAATTCAGATAACAGATGAAGAATTGAGGCAGAAAATTGCAGAAAGTTGGGGCAATTGAGAGACATTTTGGCAGTTGATAGGAACTGATAGAATTGAAGATGGCATTCAGAGTTCTAACAGGTTAAAAAATTTTATTTCTGTAGCAAATAGCACAGAGTGGAAGGGGCCCAGGTTAGTGCATATTAATGTTTTTTGAATGGTAACATCATTCTCTTTGAACATGCACCCCAGGTCAGGAATGGAAGGAGATGAAGTGTTTCCTTTTATAGTAGCTATATCCGCATGTTATTTATTTGGTTTATGGTTTCTTCTTTTTTTCTTTTTTTTCAGGGCAACAATAGTTTCACTGGAAGACTTTGAACAAAGGCTAAATCAGGCCATTGAAAGAAATGCATTTTTAGAAAGTGAACTTGATGAAAAGGAATCTTTGTTGGTCTCTGTACAGAGGTTAAAGGATGAAGCAAGAGGTGAGGCTTATAACTTAGAGAATATTTATCCTTTACCTTGATGAGCCTAAGTTAGAGTAAGCTCAAGAATCAACTTCTTTTACCTTTACATTTTAAATTTTTTGCAGTGCTGGGGATCAAACCTGGGGCTTTGTGCATGCTAGGCAAGTGCTCTAACACTGAGCTCCATCCCCAGCCTTCAATTTCTTTCAAACTATAGGTTTACATACTTTTGCAAACACTGTGATACAGTTGAAAATTCCTATCCCATTGCTCTTTAATTTGTAGTTCTTTGATTCCTACTGTGGTGAAACTTTTTCCCCCCCCAATATTTATTTTTTGCAGTACTGGGGTTTGAACTCAGGGCCTCATGCTTGCTGGGCAAGCACTCTACCACTTGAACCATGCCCCAGCCCTTTTTCCAATCTTAATTGATCATTTTACAGATTGTTTTTTCATGCCTTTTTTTCTCTCCCCTTCCAGGGGGTAATATAATCATCTGAAGAGCTTTTCATAATTTGTATAGTGTATAAAATAATGACTTTTTTCTTTTATTGTCATAATATTATTGTACTGGGGATTCATTGTGACAGTCACAAAAGTGCTTGCAATATATCTTAAATTTGCCTCCTCCATCATTCTCCTTTATCTCCTTCTCCTCATTCTTAGAATAGTTTCAACAAATCTCATTTTCCCATTTTCATACATGAGTACATAATATTACCACTATATTTACCCTCCTACACCCTTTCCTTATATCCTTCCTCCTCCCACTGGTACCAACCCCCATACAGGACCTGTTTTACCTTTCTGTCCTCTGTTTTTGAAAAAAGACATTTTTGTTTGTTTTAAAATAATAACTTTTTAGGGTTGGAGCTATGACTCAAGCGGTAGTGTGCTTGCTTTGCAAGTGTAAAGTCTTGACTTTATACTCAGACTTGGCAAAAACAAACAAAAAACCAACTCTTTTTATCTTATTTATTTTTGGTGTTACTGGGGTTTGAACTCAGGGCCTTGTGCTTACTAGGCAAATACTCTACCATTTGAACCACACCTCCAGCCCTATCTTATTTATTTATAATTGTGGTATAAAACACATGACATTGCATTTACCATCTTAACTACTTTTAAATGTATTGTTTAGTAGTGGTAAATGTACTCACATTGTTGGGTTAAAGATCTGTAAAATGTTTTCATCTTGCAAAACTGAAACTATATAAGCCATTAAATAGCAACTCCCTAACCCATCTTACCCCCAGTTTGCCCCCAACTCCTGGAACCACAGTTCTGCTTTCTGTTTCTATGACTTTGACTACTTAAATGTGGAATCATACAGTATTTATCTCTTTGTGTGACTAGCTTATTTCATTTTGCACAATGAAATTTATGACAGGTACTGGGGTTTGTGGGGTTTGAACTCAGGGCCTCACTCTTGCTAGGCAAGCACTCTACCACTTAAGCCACTCTGCCAGCCCCCAAGGATTTTCGTCTTAAAGACTAAATAATATTCCATTGCATGTATCCATGTTTTTTATTAACTTATTCATGGATGGGCATTGGGTTGCTTGTATCTCTGGGCTATTATGAATAATGTTGCTGTGAACACAGGTGTGCAGATAGCTCGTTATGATCCTGTTTTCAATTCTTTGATCACAGAAGTGGATAACCTTGTTTTTGTTTTTTTTTTTTAGCATAAGCAAATATTCTGTAGGTTAGTTGAAAAGAAAACACTAGGGCTGGTGAAGTGGCTGAAGTGGTAGAGTACCTGCCTTGCAAGCATGAGGCCCTGAGTTCAGTATCACCAGTTAAAAATTCAGTATTTGAAGGCAAGAAAAATTTTATACTGTTGTGAGTACTTCTTTTTAAGCAAAATATTTCATAGTGATGATTACGAAAAATCCAACCCTTTAAAAGTTATAACACTGCTCTTCATTTACTGGGGTTTGAACTTAGGGCCTCACGCTTGCTAAGAAGGTGCTCTACCAGCCTTTCATTGATTTTTGCAGTAATCCTGAAACTACATCATTTCAAAATGTGAAAGCAAATGAGTTGGTAAAGGATATTTATTTTGGTGTCATACAGGCTCACTATGAGTTCTGTTTTTGACTTTGCCCTGTTTCTTTTTACATTTGGGCACAGTAACTGTTCTGTGAGTTTATAGCATTTTTAAATTCTAAAGATATCACTCAGATTGTAGGATTGTCATTTTTATTCCTCTTAAAATGAACATTACTGAACAGGAAATTTGTGGGGGCTGGAGGAGTGGCTCAAGTGGTAGAGCGCCTGCCTAGCAAGCATGAGAACCTGAGTTCAAACCCCTGTATTGCCAAAAAAAAAAAAAAAAAAAGCAAAAAACTTTCCTGTTGGAGGTGTGGCTTAAATAGTAAATTCATTTTTGAGAAGTAGTACTTTAGGAAGAATGTCATAATGACATTTCAGGTATGACTTTGCTTGATGTAGTTGCTCCCTCTAGTGAGTATTCCTGCCTTTCTTTGCAACATTGCAGATTTAAGACAAGAGCTAGCAGTTCGGGAAAGACAACAGGAAGTGACCCGAAAGTCAGCTCCCAGTTCTCCGACTCTAGACTGTGAGAAGATGGATTCTGCTGTACAGGCTTCACTGTCCTTACCAGCGACTCCTGTTGGCAAAGGAACAGAAAACAGTTTTCCATCACCAAAAGGTCTGTTGTGCTTTTCTTTTTAAGGCTGTGTAAGATTATCAGTTTAAGAGAATTTGTTGATGCAGCAGGAGTTGCTAAGGTTTAACCAGTTTAAAAGTCTGCAGTTAAAAAGTTGGTTTAGGGCTAGGAATGTAGTTCAGTAGTAGAGCATTTGCCTAGCACACGTACAGCCCTGAATTCCATCCCAAGCACCAAAGAAAACAAAACAAAAGGGCTGGAATGATGGTGTACACCCAGAATCCCAGCACTGGAGAGGCTAAGGAAGGGTTCTTGAGTTCAAGGCCAGCTTAAGCTACATAGCAAGACACTGTATTAACAAACAACAACAAAAAAGTTGGTTTAGTTTAGTGCTACATGAGGCAGAAGAAAGAATTGTTTTTCTGGGTCATTTATACCTAGGAAAACAGGGAGGTGATGCCTACATTTAAGACACCTTAATTGAGATTTTAAAAAGTTGTAAGTTTTTAAGGAAAGTTATTTTCTTTTCGTTGTAGCAGTAATACATATTCATGTAGATATTTTGTGGTGCTAGGGATCAAAGTGAGGGCCTTGCACATGTTAGGCAAGAACTCTTATCACTGAACTACATCCCCAACATCATGTAGAAAAATTTGAAAACACAGAAAGAAAAAACAAAGTAAAAACCATCTGTAATCTTACCACTTAAAGATCCCTAAAATTTTGAGTTTTTTCCCTACTGTGTGTGCTTGTGTGTGTTTGTATACATCTCCTTATCACACATAAATTTTAAATCATACTTAAATACAGTTTTATTTCTTATTTTTGCCACTTACCATATCATGGAAAACTAGAGGCCTTTATACACAGGTATGAAGAAAAACTTTGAGTTACCACTCAGATTCATATAAGGCTGGCTTAGACAGATGTACCCATTCTGTTCCATACTTCAGGAGCTGTTATAAAAGGTGACATTCAGGATAATAGATGAGTGCTACATTAAGAAGGCTATTTTTTTTTTTTTTGCTGTCAATGTATTTTTAAATGCAGAAAAGAAGAAAACCTTCAAATATAATTCCAAAGTTTTCAATTCCAGTTTTAGCTTTTGTAGTTTGTAGATCATAGCTTAGCTATCCTCACATCCCTGTGCTTCTTTCACTCCAAACTGAAGCTGTCCTCCTGCCCCCTCTTAAAATACAGGGTTTTATCTTTCAGAGAGATAAGACAAGGTTGCTATCTGGGCAATTAGTACAGGTAGCTCTCTGTATCTGTTCTGCTCAATACAGTAGCCTAGTCACGTGTGACTTTTCAGATTTGTGTTAATTGAAATGAAATACAGGGTAAATTCAGTTTCTTAGTTGCATTTAGCCACATTTCAGGTGATCAGCTTGTTTGGGACTTAGTATTAGGTGAAGTTAATAGAGTGTGTGACTAGTTACTAACTATACTAGTATGTGGTAAGTTTGCTGCTGTGGACATGAAAGGCAATGTATAGATTATAGCAGTCATTAGAAGTTCTCACTGTCAGTTTTTGAAGACTTCACAGTTACTGAACTGAAAACCAATAGTGTTTTACTTTTACACTGTTAGAATTTTGCAGCTAAGTTCTGTTTTTTTTTTTTTTTTTTTTGTGGTACTGGAGTTTGAACTCAGGGCCTGCACCTTGAGCCACTCCACCAGCCCTTTTTGTGATGGTTTTTGTTTGAGTTAGGGTCGCGAGAACTGTTTGCCTGGGTTGGATTCGAATCATGATCCTTCTGATCTTTGTCTCCTGAGTAGCTAGGATTACAGCATGCTAGGCAAGTGCTCTTCCTCTTGAACCACGCCTCTAGCCCTGAAAATTCTTTAGTTGTTCACTGATCACCCCAAATATAGTGTACATTCTTCTATAGCCCATTGAAGTTTTCATTAAGGGACTTGGGGAGTCAACAGGACATAGAGCCTGCTTTTGCATAGAATGAGATGTCAACCCTAAAGAAGTAATATTCATCCAAATAGATATATTTTTAGACTGGAACTGATTGCAGAAACTTTGTCTAGCATGAAAGCTTCCATGTCTTGGATCCCTGCAGTTTCATAGAGTAAAAGTCAGCACAGAAATGATGAAGAGCTGATCTCTGTGAAGTGGCCTCTCTTTTCATTTTTTCTTATTTGTACAGTGGTTGTTTTCAAAAAGTGTTTAAGACAACTTACCTCAAAAGCACAGATTTAATGGTACCTAAAATACAAAAATTGAGAGTAGGGAAAAATGAGATTCTGAATTCTCTGCCAAGAAAAATGTAGCCATTTCTTTATATCACATTGAGAACTTGTTATATGCCATGCATTATTTAGATGCTGGAGATCTAGTGCTGAGTAACACAAAAGTCTTACCTGCAGTGAGGTTATAGTCTAGAGAAGAAGGAATACAAAACGCCCAGTGTATTTTAGTTGCTCATCAGCATTCTGTAGAAAATGAACAGGTAAAAAAATAAGAGCTAGTTCTTTTATTGAGTACTTACTTACCATGCGGTAGACATTTTTAAAGTGTATTAATTAACAACATTATGAGTACTGCTTGTGCCTTCTTATGAGTAACTTGACAATGTCACAGCTACTAAATTGCAGAATTGAACTGGTATACAGCTATTTAGTTCAAGAGCTCTTAGTATTATGCCATACTGTCTCTTAAAATTGAAGACATGTACATGACTGAAAACCCTCCCTACATATTAATATTGATGTTAAGTTATTCTGAGATAGTAAATGTTGTGAGAATAGTGAAGAAAAGTTTGAAATAGGCTAATAACAAGAAGGGCTTGCCTTTTGAGATTCTAAAATACATTTTAACACCAATAACTAGAGTAGCATGCTTAAAATACATGTATGGAAACATTTCATGGTACTCCATATATATGTCATAAATGAAAGAAAGTAGCATAGTTATGATGAAATAGACTAATAATTCAGTGACGCTGAAGATATTCAAATACAGGTACATTAAGTGATCTAGGCTTTTTTTTTTTTTTGGCTTGTGCTGGGGATGAGTCCAGGGCCTCACATGTGCTAGGCAAGCACACCATTCCCCTAACCCTTAAATGATGTCAGTGTAAAAAAAGACTTAGGAAAATATGGGGACCTTTTTATAATATTGAGATGGGGGAGCCAAAGGTTTCCCCCTTCAAAGCACAAAGTTTAAGAGAGAAATGTCCTGAGAGCTATAACAGAAAAGAGAATAGTCATAATGTATAGCACCCTTGTAGACTGATTAAAGACAACCAAGTAGAAGATACGAAAAAAAAAAAAAAAAAAGCCAAAACATAAAAACCCACATGATTTCCAGAAGAGGAAATTTAAACAAGCAGTTATTTCAGCAGTAGAAACTATCAAATTGCTTTAAAAAAAACCCCAAAACTAAAAAGGTTAATATCTCAATGTTTTTAGGAGTGCTACCATGCAGATTACAGATATTGGCATTTTTTAATGGAACACTGGCAGTTTGTGTTAAAGTGAAGAAAGGGCACCCCTCTGACCTAGAAGTTTTATTTTTAGGAACCTTCTCTCGAAATACTTGTCTAGATGTCTAAAGATCTGTGTCCTTATAACATTATTTATCGTAATGAAAAATTGAAAGTCTACCATCAATTGTTATCCACCAATATGATGTATACAGTTATGTTTTATATAAAACACATATATATACACACATATATTTATATGTAGTTTGGAGAGTGGTTAAACTTGCTTATGATATCTCTATATTCATAGTGTGAAAGTTGATTTTGCATTGAGTGTACTCTTCTTTGTAATATCAACAATAAAACCCAAATGTAAAGGGAGCTGCTAATGTCATCACTCGTCTTTTCTTTTTCTTTAGCTATACCAAATGGTTTTGGAACCAGTCCACTAACTCCTTCTGCTAGGATATCAGCACTAAACATTGTGGGGGATCTCTTACGGAAAGTAGGGGTAAGCATTCAATTATTTATCACTAAGTGTTTCCACTGCTGAGGTAGTTTTTAATTGTTTTTCATTTGAAGTGAGGAAAGAAAAAAAGGATACCTTTCTGTATGAGAAGGATAAGCATCCAGTGAAGAGCAGAGACTAGTTCAGATACACACCTCCAGCACTGCACTTGTGGTGCCTCTGCAGGTTACCACTTGGCATTCTTCCTGTTTCCCGTTGCTGTCTACAGTGTGATGCCTCCAAGGCCTGCTGTGTGTCTTTGGGCTCCCTCTAATCCTGTTTTTTGCCTTATCTCTCCCATCCCCTCTCACCTTTTATTTTGTGAGATGCTAACATTTGGCTCAGGGCCTGACCACTCTGTGTCTTACTGCTCTTGGACTACCTAACTTCAGTGCCTTCTCCTTGGCTCTAGTCTTGTATCCAGAACAGTTTGGCTTTTGAAATATTAAACTTTTTTTCTGCTTATTCATTGTTTCTTGTTTTTTTTTTTTTTTTTCTTTTTTTGAGATGGCATCTTGCTATGTTGCCCAGGCTGGCCTCGAACTCATGGGCTCAAGTGATCTTCCTGCCACAGCCTCCCAAGTAACTGAGACTACGGTGTGCCTGGTCTCTTATTCAGTTTTTATTCTGTTTAACACCTACCTTATTAAGAGTAGTACCCTGTCGGTCTTTATCAGCCATCTGTTGCTTTCACTTCTTTCCTCCTTCTTCGATCCCCACAGATCACTTACTCTGTTGCTATTGACTTCATAGTTTCCTTGGCTGTAAAGGAGACCTGCAATCTAGAACAGGCAAACAGGCTGGGTTTCTGGAAACAATCATAGAATCAAGGTGAATTTATGACACTACTGTATTCTCAGCATTTCTAGTATTAGCTCCTTTTCATATTTCCCTCAGTGACTCTTGTCTTTTTTTAATAATCACACCTTGGAACTTTCCACGGTCTACCTATTTTTACCTATTTTTGTGTGAGACATTTTGTGGAAAAAGCCAAAATTGTATTGTACGTTAAAGAAAAAATGGGAAGCCAAGACATAGGGTACTATGTTTGCCTTTTCTGGCTCATAAAATGGATTATTTTCTAACTATCAAATTAGCTCTAAGTCCTTATCTTAAAGTTACTATAAAAAGTAATGTACGTGAATCATTCATGCAGTACATACAGTAATCTTCATTTCTAAGATAACAATTTTTAAGATCCTATTTGTTGTAAGGGTTATGTTGTTTATCCCTATCATGTCAATTGATATGCTCATTTTATCTTGATTTAATTAACTTTAAGGAAAAAAAAAGAGATGAGGAATTTAACCTACCATCTCCCAATTTTACTTTTATTTTTTGTTTTTCTATTGGTTATTTTTATAATCTTAATAATTTTTTTTTTAATTAAAAAATTTTTTTTTGTGGTACTGGGGATGGTACCCAGGTCCTCATGCATGCTAAGCATGTGCTCTATCACTGAGCTACATTTCCCTAAATAACCTTTCTGAATGTATTAGACTACATCTAAACTCTGTTTTCCTCACACCATTCCGCTGTCCCTCCTTAAGTTTCTATTGGTTGTGAATTCTCTGTTGGTTGACTGTGAAAGATTGAAAATTAGTCAAACTGCCTTATGCCCCCTCTATGTGTCATTTATCACGTAACCAGAGAGGAGGAGCTGGGCTTTTTATATTTGTGCCACCCAACGTGAGTTTCAAACATTGTGTTTTTTATCATTTACTCAAATCATATCATCTTTGTATTGTAGCTGACTTGTATGTTGTTTTCATTTTCCTAGCATTTTGAAGTACTTTTCTTAGTTGTGGTAGAAGAAACATATTTTCTTTGCAATAGCTCTTCACTTCCAGCTTCTCATTCATGTTCTTTGCTTAATGCCCTGATATGCTTCTAGGGCTGATACACTCTAGAATTTATTCCCGCTGCACTCTTGGGTTATTCCTGCCTGCTCCTTACCCCATGCTATTTATTTATTTATTTTTGTTCCTCATTTGTTTTGCTTTGGTACTTTAATTTATTCAGAAGTGATGATGAAAGTTAATTTGGAGTTCTTGAATGGTTACCGGTTCAACTGGACTGTCTTCTAAGATGTCACCAAAACTTTTGGTGTGCTAGTAACCACCATCTCCTGAGTACTTTAGTGCATGTTTCATTTTATATGTGCCTCGTCCACTGTCTTGAACTGGAAGTCCCTTCCCTACTTTTGCATCCTTGTGGAGAAAATCAAGTCCATTGGATTTAACCTTATTTGATTTCTTCTCTCACTTTCTGTTATTTTCCTAACCATTCTTCCTTTTGTCTCAGTGGTAAGTGTAGATTCCTGCCCAGGGCTGATTTTGTCCATCTGAGCTTTGGATCCCATTCCTTCAACTTTCTCATCCTTTTTTGTCAGTACTGGAGTTTGAACTCAGGGCTTCACTCTTGCTAGACAGGCACTCTACCACTTGAGTCACTCCACCACCCCAAAACTTTCTCGTCTTTATCTTTCCATTTATATATGTTAATATACATATTATACATATACTATGTACTTTTGTTTTGTTTTTTGGTGGTACTGGGGTTTTTTGAACTCAGGGCCTCATGCTTGCTAGGCAGGTGCTCTGTCACTTGAGCCAAGTCCCCAACCCCTTTTATTTTAGTTATTTTTCAGATAGAGTCTTGTTCTTTTGCCCAGGGCCAGCCTTGGATCAAGATCCTTCTACTTCTGCCTCCCACAGAGGTGGGATTATAGTCATGTACCAGGTTTGTTCTTTGAAATAGGATCTCTCTGACTTTTTGCCCAGGCTGGCCTTGGACTGTGATCCTTCTCTGTCCATCCCCCAGGTAGCTTACAGGTGTGAGTCACCATGCCAGGCCTGTTGTTTTTTGAGGCAGGGTCTTATCATGTAGCCAGGCTGGCCTTGAATTTACAATTTTCCTGCTTCATCTTCTGAGTGCTGGGATTACAGGCTTGTACTGCCATGACAGGCAACATATACTTTTATTTTTATTTTTGTTGATTTTTTTTTTGAGGCCATGTCTCGCCGTGTAGCCAGGTTGGCTTTGAACCTGAGATCCTCCTCATTCCTCTACATGCCAAGTGCTGTGATCCACAGACATGCACCACCATGCCCAACTGTATACTTTATGTGTATACATATAAAACTGTATACTTTATGTGTACTGCTTAGGGTTTTTTTGTTTTTGTTTTTTTTTTTTAGGTGCTGGAACTTGAACCCAGGGCTTTGTCCATACTAAGCACATGCTCTACCACTGAGCTATATTGCTAGTCCTTTACATATTTTTTTAATTTTAAAAAGCAAAAATAAAAACAGTTCTTATTTTCTTTTATGTTATATCTCTCTTTAGCCATTTTCTCTTCTTTTCAAAGCCAAGCTTTCTGAAAGCCTGTCTGTATTTATTGTTAGCATTTTGACTGCACATGCACTCCCTAGACATTCTGGTCTGGGCTCTGTTCCCTGCTCAAGCCACTGAAAAAGTACTCACTGGTGATCTCACTGCTGTCAAATCCAGTGTGTGTCGTTCTAATTTTACTTGAAACATTCAACACCAACCTGTCCTATTTTTTTCTCTGAAGTGTCCTCTTTCCTCTGCTTTCCTGATGCTGTTTCATGGCTACTCTCACCTTTCCCATTCTTCTTCATCACTTGGGCCAAGTCCCCAGCCTTGGCTGGTCTTTATCTTGCTGGTCTTTATCTGCCCATTCTTTAAGTGTTGGTTTTGTTAAGAGTTCTGTCCTTGGTTACCTGATCTTATCATTCACAACATGGTGAAAAATAACATAGTGAATAATTCACAACATGGTGGATGCAGATATCTTCCAAATCTTACATTCTAGACTACCCTCTTCCTTTTAAAAGACCCAGTACTTGTACCTGTATGTCTTACTGATGCCTCAGACATAACTTGGGCCTGCCATGTGGCAGCTGCTCAGCACATAGTGAATAAATGGACATGTGTCTTTATGGAATGTAGGGCAAAACGGATGGCTGTCAGTGTGTATTGCAGGTGTGTATCTTTACATGCCCCTGAATGATGTTCATTCAGAGCTATCCTGCAAGGTCATTACCTCTCTTCCTTCCTTAGTCATTATTTTACAAGCTCACTGTACTTTTGTCACAGAAGGAGACAAGAAGGAAGCTTAAGTCTACTTTTGTGGCTATTTCTTGTGTTCTTACTGAAATTGCAGGTGAATTATTTAATTATAAACAAAGAGTATTGAGTTTTACAGTGTACTCTCAGAAAGAAAAAGTCTTTTCATTTTATCTGAAGTGTTGTGTTTGCATCTATTCTGATGCAATGGAAAAAACTAGAGTAAAGACTATAAAAAGAATTGGCTGGCTGGGTGCCGGTGGTTCACGCCTGTAATCCTAGCTATGGGTATCAGTCCCAGCCCCTCTCCAAAAAAAAAAAAAAAATTGGCTGCATTAACAACATTCTTAGTGGATGTTTTTGGATTCTATTTTGTAATGCTGTATTTCCCCTCCACCCCCTGACACACACACACACACACACACACACACACACACACACACACACACACACACACATCCAACACCAACTAACAGTCTACAACTTAAGTAATGGGTAGGGTCTGTCCTTATGTACATGTTCCACATTTTTCTTAGTTGCAGATTATATCTGCATCTCTCAGTAATACTGAAAGGAATAGGTAAAAACTCTGAGCTCATTAAAAAGGGAGGCAGCATAAACATTCCCTCTTTCTATTAGAAAGGGGATTGCGCATGACTGAACTATCATTATCATCCTGGAGGTTAAGGGTTAAGGCTTGAAATAGAAATGATTTGAAATGCAAATTTTTCTGTACAGCTATTGTTTTGACAACTAAATCATTCCTTCTTCCTTTTGTAGGCTTTAGAATCCAAATTAGCAGCTTGCAGAAATTTTGCAAAGGACCAAGCATCACGAAAATCCTATATTTCAGGGAACGTTAACTGTGGGGTGATGAACAGCAATGGCACAAAGTTCTCTCGATCAGGGCACACATCTTTCTTCGACAAAGGGTGAGTCCTGGGCGTTTTTTTTTTTTTTTTTTTTAATGGTACTGGGGTTTGAATTTAGGGCTTCACACTTGCTAGGCAGGTGCTCTATCACTTGAGCCACACCTCCAGTTAATTTTGTTCTGGTTATTTTGGAGATGGTCTCTTGAACTATTTCTCTGGGGAAGGCCTCAAACTGCGATCCTCCCTATTTTAGCTTCTCAAGCAGCTAGAACCACAGGTGTGAGGCACCAGTACATGGCTAGTTCTGGACTTTTTAAATGATCAGTTGGAGTAGTAGCTGCAGATTATTAAGAGAGTGTACTGAAGTCTTGAGAAGGTAAGCTCAGTTTGATAAACTTACCTGAAGCCTATTCTCATTCAAATCTTGGGGGACAGTAACTGTGTCATTTTCAGTCCCTGTGGAGTCTGTTGCCCTAGGAACTGGGAGTCTGCAGCTTCTGTCCTGGGAGTAGACTCTTGAAAGGTAGCATCCTGGGCTTGGGAGACTCTCAGGGCTGGGGCGTGGTCCCTTTTCTCCAGGGAGACTGTTCACCTAGGAGACGTTCTCAGCACATCTTTTTAAAGATAATGTACATGCAGTTATATATATTCAGACTTGACAGAAAAATACAAAGTCCTGAAGTGTTTAGATATTGAATCAAATACAATTGAGGAGTTAAAATTTTTGTATAATGTGAAGTTTTTTTTTTTTTTTTTTTGGTGGTACTGAGGTTTGAGCTCAGAGCCTTGCACTTGCTTGTCAGGCACTCTACCACTTCAGACATGCCCCCAGCCCTGAAGGAAAAATTTTTGTGAGGATTGAAATTAAAAAAAATGGTCTTCAGATTGAAACAGTGATCTATTCTTAATACAAAAAATATTCAGTTTGTATAGACGTATGTGAGATAAAAGGTAACTGTTTCTGCTTTCCTACTATTTTTTTTTTGCATTCTTAGAAGTTAGTCTTAGGCATGTAAAATCATATTTTTATGTATTTGCTTTAAGCTTTTTGCAATACACTGAGATTATACTTTAAATACTACTCTGCAACATGCCTCTCGTGGCTTTCATCATCCGTATATTTCTATGTCAGTACATATCATTTACCTGAGTTTTTAAAAAATAATGCATGGCTCTCCACTTGTTACAGGGATGACTTAATATAGGGAGCTAGTTAGGACATGTGGTTTGGGAATGACAAGCGTGAGACTTTAGTTAGTTGTTACTGGAACAGCAACCGAGGCACCTATGATTCCTTGCTGTGGTCTCTCCTGTGAGTTGTACAGGAAGTTCTTTCTTGTTTTGTTTTTCTTGTTTTTTTTTTTTTCTTGGTAGGACTGGGGTTTGAACTCAGGGCTTTGTACTTGTCTTGTTTTTCTATGTAAATAATTTAGGAACAGCTCTAGAAATTTTCACAATATCTTAAAGGAGCTTGTATTTGTGTCCTCAGTAATTATGGCTTGTTTAGGAAGGACCTAATTTGATACATAGTCCATTCTTAAACAGCATCTTATGTCCATCCTCATAGTAGAATTTTCTGGTTCATCTTTGTACTGTAAGACAGTTCTATCCTGAAGTATACACATTTCATTAGGGATATTCTATTAAAAGCACATACTAAAATATCAATATTTAGATATCTCGTGGGGTGGTAAGTATAAAATTAATTTTCCTCAGGCTTAGGAGCTTCAGGCAAACTTGGCCAGTTCCTGTGTTTTGGTACTGTAATAGCATGTGGAATGGATAGATATTTCTACATTAGAGTAGCCATTTCCCCCAAATAATATGGAGAAAGTTTAGGGAAAGTCTTTAAGAGTATTGGAAACAGTGTTTTTTTTTTTTCCTGAAAGTTGTAATTACAGTAGAATAGTTATTACTCTGTGTCTAGAATCTTACTTCTTGGTGGCCTCAGGCATCTTAGGACATGAGGACAGGCATGGAAAGTGCTTCAGAATGGTCTCAATCAGGGAGGGATATCACTGTCTGTTTAGGTTCACTTGCTTCTGCCTTCCATCTGCCTCCCATTACAGAGCACCAGGGCAGGTATGACCCAGAAACATACTTGCTCTTGGGGAGATGTGAAGGATTCAGTGTAGGCTGAAACCAGGAGTGGCTTCTGCTTAAACCCCTGACCCCAGGAGCACCTAGAGGCACTGTAGTCAGTACTTCCTGGACTAAACTGGGAAAGTGCTTGTTTTTTCACTTGAACAAATTGTATGTTGTACTGTTTCTACCAAGAATGCAGTATGCTTTTGTAGACTGACCCTAGGTCAAACATTCAGCTGATTTGATAAGTGAATTGTGTATGCACCCTGCAGCGTTAACCTGCTGTTGCGTGAGGGATCTTTGTTGAGTTTCCACATTCCTAAGGACAGCTGTTTTGTGGCTTTGTTGGGTTTCCATTTCCTTGCTGCTTTGCTTTCATTCTGGCTTCCTTCTGGCCTGCCTGGCTTTTTACTTCTGGCCTTTCTTCTCCTCACCTACTGACTAGATAAAAATCAGGATGGTATAAACCAGCTGCAAAAAGAGGAGGGCAAATAGCCTAATTCCCAGATCCATTATCAAATCTAGCAGGTTAAAAAAAAGAGGCTAGCTTTTGTAGAGATGTTGAAGTATGGCCTGTCATTTCAGCATGAGGAAAGGCCCCTCATTTTAAAAAGACCTTGTCTCTAACCCTGCCTCTTATTCCTGAGGAATGCAGTGCCATCATTGTGGCTGACTAATGTGGCTTGAGACCCATTTGAGGATCATTGGGGGAGGTTTGTATATGTGTGGGTGTGCTTGTTCACCCCCTTTTCTACCCTCATAGCCTTCAGATGCAATGAAGCCTTACCATGTTAGACTATACCTAAAGTAGGCACATTGAGATTCAGAAGTAGTTTGTAAATTCTGGTTATTTGAGGACTTCTTAGAGGCAGGATTTTGTGTAGTCTGGGGTCACTCTGTCAGTTCCTCAAATGCAGGTCACTGTTTCTACTTGCTCTGGTTCCTCCCACCACCAAAGCATGTTATGTCCGCATCTAAAAGGATACAGAGTTCTTGTGTGGTATAGTCACTTGAATTTGCTCCATAACTTTAGTTTCTCATCTGTCACTTGCCCTATTTTTGCAAGCCAGTCTCTCTACTTTTGGGTGGTGTGTAGGTGGGCATGGACTAATTTTAGGGCACAATGTGAAAATGTTACTTGTACTATTAATTTTTTTTCCTTTTTTTATTAGGCAAGAAAAAGTCATATTTCCCACGTTGTTCATGGGTAACTGAATGTTTGCTGTGCTTTCTTTCCCTCTTTCTTAATTATGGTGTATTAATTATGGTGTATGGCGGAAAACACATTAACAAACTGGTTTTACTAATTGCATGGAGCTGACTCAGCTTTAACCACAACTTACAGCTTATGAGTGAGCTTTCAAGATCCTGTTTGACTTGACTATATACCATTAGTATTAGCTCACCTGTGCGGAGTATCACCACCAGTGGCTGGGTGTGGCAACATGTGCTTGTAGTTCCAGGTACTTGGGAGTCTGACTGAGGCAGGAGGATTGCTTGAGCCCAGGAGTTCAGGACCAGCCTAGCAACATAGCAAAACCTCATTTCAAAAAAACCCAAAACATCAGTGCAGTGGTCCTGGGCCTGCCTGTGGCACTCCCCACATAGGGCAGGGTGTTGTGGTGATGTCTGAGTTCAGGAGTGGGACTGGCTGCCAGGCCCTAGGAACACATTCCACTGTCTTCTTGGGGATGGGGCTTCTTCTGTCCTCCAGTTGTTTCTGTTTTCTCAGATCTCTAATGATAATAAGACTCCCTTGCCTCTGTGCCTCGAGGATGTGTGTAAGATCTACCTTAGGTTTCAGAACTGCTTTTCAGTTGGCATAGTCTGGGCCGAGGGCTGTAGCTGGCTGTAGCTGCTCTGAGCTTCCATTTATCCATCCAGGCTCTGGATGTGTCTCCTGTTCTTCTGAATTAGCTCCAGCTGCCTTCCTTTCGCTTTACTGTCCTCTTAGGTGTACTGACCTTGCTTCTTTGACAGATTGTTTCCCTCCTTTATCTCTGTTGTTATTAGATACATGGTCCTCCTGACTGGCTTCTAAATGTGCATTGGCTCTTTTTCTCCTTTTTACTATTTCTGTTGTCATTTTACAACTGACTTTAGTACCTTTTCTTAGCTGGAGTCTGTTTTTCCTTAACTAGATTTTGGGATAAAATCATGAATTGCAACATTTTTTGCATAGTTGATTCCCAGGACTATCTCTCCATCCTTGCCTGTTCTTTCCATTCAGTCCTGTATGGTTTACTGGAACATTTCCCTTTAGCTCTTCAGATACATACTGAGGTGTTTGCTCCTTCAGATACATACTGAGGTGTTTGTTCTCTTGGGAACCTTTCCACATTGCACAATTTTGCACTTCTCTGAAGAGAACCTCATCATACCAAAAAATCCCATCTGTAAGTAAGCTTTCTCTCTCTTTGGTTTTAACTTCCTACTTGACTCAGAAGAGAAGTGTTAAATGAGACCCTGGTGGCTTGTTCTTCTCTTTTTTATTTACTTTTTATTTTTTTATTCATTTATTCACATGTGCATACATTGTTTGGGTCATTCCCCCGCCACACCGTCCCCGACCTCCACCCTCTACTCCCCACTCCTCATCACTTCCAGGAAGAATCTGTTCTGCCTTTATCTCTAATTTTGTGAAGAGAAAACATAAGCCATAATAAGAAAGACAAAGCGTTTTTGCTAGTTGAGATAAGGATAGCTATACAGAGAGATTCCTAGTATTGCTTTCGTGTACAAATGTGTTACAACCCAAGTTGATTCATATCTAACTGACATTTACACTGGTTCCTGATCCCCTTCCCGTATTGACCTCTGTTGCTTTGTTTCTGTATTAGTTCCTCTGGAGTTGGGGACATCAAATGTGTTCTCTTTCTACTCTACCTGCCTTCAAGTCAAGGGTTCCACCTCTATCCACACCTAGTTCCTGTTCTCTCTGTGTATCTCTGACTGTGCCAATTGTTTTCCCCAGTTACTGCTGATCTGCACTGGGAGCACCAGTGGTTGCTTGCTAAGGGCTTCTGAGCAGCCTCTGGTAAGAGAAGAACAGGAAGTGGTGGGTGCCCTGGCGTCTGAAGCAGATTGTGGGCTCATTTTCCCCACTAACTGCTCACCGTATGAGCGTGGGTTAATGCCTGGACTTTTTGCTATGGTTCTCTTAGCTCTGTAACAGGTGGAGATGAGCTTGATGCTCCTTAGAAGAACATCTAACTTGAAAATACTGGAATCTTATTGTGTCCTGCCACAGTGCTCTGAGAGGCTGGAAAACTGAGGCACATATGTTGGAAGCTGGGGTCATTTGTCTAGTTCTTGAGGTTTCTAGGAGAGGCAGGCATTGGGGACTCTGGAACTAGACAGACAAAGGACAGATGGGGTTTATTAAGTGAGAACTACAGTGGCAAATAGGATGTGGCCCCAGGCCTTTGTAGAGATTCAGGAATATAGCTTTGGGAAGGGTGATTTAAAATTTCACATGTGACAAAGCTCAAATACCAGACTTTCCTCAGCCCAAAAAGAAAAGGGAAAAAGTCAGGCTGTCCATCTCTGAAGTGTAGAACAAGGTACAACATTGAGAATTACATTTACTAGAGTTTCTTTTCCATTGCTTTTGGTTTCTGTGTGGTGGCTTGATTTCAGATTCCAAATATGGACTGTGTTTAGTTTCTTGGAACATGAACTTTGTCTTTTTCTTCAAAGTGTCAGGTTATCAAGTTTCTCTTCATGCCTGTTTCTGCTTCTCTATGTGATTACAGTTAACTCTTTAGCCTGTGAAACTGCAGTCTGCAGGGAATTCATGGTTCCACCTTTTGTTTTTTTTTTCTTTTTTGAGTGAACCTCTTTCCCTGAGTCTGTATTGAGCTCAATATAGATTTACTCAGCTATATAGGCTGAGTAAGTAAGTAGAGTGACAGTGGTGGGCAAGTGTGATGCAGTGCAGCCCCTTGCAGTTGACTGCATCTCCCAAATTGCTAGTGGGACAGATTCTCCTAGGAAGTTTTTCAGGACAAAGAGGCTGAAGTAGCTTCCTGAGAGAGGTTCCAGGCCTCTCTCTCTTTCCTTCTCTCCCTTCTTGCTTCTTGTGGCTGTGCTACCAGGTACAGGGGCTGGGGGTGCTGCACCTTGCTGGGTGTGCGTGGGTGCTGGTGCTGATACGGGGCTTGGCTGCCCGCTTACAAGTCTGCAGAGCTCCCAAAGAGAAATCCTTCCGTCTGGCTTTGCTTGCTAAACAATTTTTTTAAAGTTATTTTTCTCCCTTATTAAGTATTCACATTGTACGAGATTTGGGAAATAATAAAACATAAAGTAGTAAATAATTTACCCACAACCCAGAAGGAAGAAAAGTAACTATTGTTACATTTTCCTTCATATATATGTATGTGTATGACTATATATGATTTTATGTACGTGTGTATACGTGTATATATTATGTGTAAAATATTCATATGTGTGTATATATGTATATATATGTGTGTGTGTAAATCTACACATTCTAGGCTTAGCTACATACTACTGTCTGTGTAGGGGCTATGCTATAGAATCTAGAATATATACTGTATGCTTTTTCTTCACATCACTGAACACACACAGTTTGGTTCCTTCCTTCCCCTTGTTTTTTTCTTTCTCTCTTTCTTTCCTTCCCCCCCTTGCCCACCCTTCCTATTTCTTTTGGCAGCATTAAATACATTCTGAATATTTTCCCATGCTATTAAAAAAGCTAATGGAATGTGTTTTTAATGTGTTTATATTTCATTATTTTGTCGTACAATTACTTATTTAACTAATTCCCTCTTACCAGATAGACCTGTTCTATGGGGAAAAATATTAGGACTGTGGCTATAGTGGCTCATGTGATGAGGTTGCCTAGAAAAGGGGTAGGTACATGGTCTTGGTACCCCAGGATTATAAATTCTCTATTCTGTAATCCATCAATGCTTTCTGGGCAGCCATTCATCCCTCGGCAGTCAGGACCCTACTGTGGGCCAGGAAGAGGGCTAGTTACAGAAAGCAAATGAATTTATTGTGTGTAGAGTGACTTTAAATGACATTCTTTTTCCCTTCCTCTCTCTCCTCTGGTCACCTCCATAGGGCAGTAAACGGCTTCGACCCAGCTCCTCCTCCTGGCCTGGGCTCCTCACGCCCATCCTCAGCACCTGGTATGCTGCCTCTCAGTGTGTGAGTGCCCAGCCTCCAGGTGGGGGCCCTGCCCTCCTCCAGCAGCCCAGGACACCCACGCCTCGCCCTTCGGTGCCTGGGCCCAGCCCTGTGACCCTCCGTCTGCCTTCTCGCAGTTGGCAGAGGGCAGGCTGCATGCAGTGGTGGCTGCTGGGCCCCGCCCAGCCCCAGGACTCTGCGCGATATCAATATTGGCTATTTTCTCTTCTCGCCGTAGTGCCGTTGGTTTCACATGATTGCACTTTTGTGGGTCATAAGGTGATACATATGTGTATTACTTGGTCACTGGATGCGGAAGTACCTGTTCATCACACTTGCCTCATACCCCTACTCTGCTGTGCTGATAGGATTTAGTTGTGTTTAGGACATTGCAGATCTTCTAGAAGTTCTTCCCCAATCAGGTTGGTGTGTGCCCATCCAAGCTCTCACCCAGGCATCGTCAGTGCTCACAATCATGTCTCACCCCCAAACTTGACCCTACAGTTTGGCCTGTTTCTGGAAAAGAGTCAGGAATGTCACTGAATTAGGGAATACTGTCCGCACCTTATGATTTTATGTAAGTAGTTTCCATTCCATAGACTTGCCTCCCAAAGCAGCAAGATGCCGCCTGAGCTGCAGGCGGCAGGAGCTTCCAGGGCTCCAGGACTGAGCCTTGGTGCTGCCTCCTCCATGTGCCTCAGACTCAGGGGAGGCAGGTGGCAACCTCCTCGCCAGCCTTCAGTTCAGTGACATCCTCAGAGCATTTGTTTTCTCTTCTGAAGGTCCATCCAGCGCATCAGGAAGGGTTGAGGGGTCTGATTCTGGGAGCTGGCCTGCTGGCTCCTAGGGGTACTGACCAGAAGTGGTTGTCCCTTACATCCTTTGATTGCTCTCATGCTGCACTTACTGTTTACATTTGTTTTATTGTATATAGGTTTGTAAACATTATTGCCTAAGATACTTGTATATAACTTAGGCTTTGTAGCTTTTATTTATTCAGAACTCATATGGCATGTTAATGATTTATGATGGTGTCCTTCTCTGGGCAGCTGTATAGGATCATCATGTGGTTAAAAACAAAATACTTCCCCTCCGAAAGAAAATCTTTTAATGTGGAAACAATAAATTTCACAGAAAAAAAGAATTGAGGTTGTTTTCTTGGGTTCCTGCCATCATGTGAGATGGAGCTGGAGCATACAAAGCCCATTCCAATCTTCTGCTCTCGGGTATGGGGTGTGTGCAGATGGACATCTGTGGAATGGGAAGAGAAGAATCAGGTGGCCTTGGCAGATGGCTTATGCACTGAGCAGGGTTGCTCATGCCAGTCTTGGTGCTGGTTTCTAGGCTTGTATGATTTCCAGGGGCAGCCTGGGAATGACTCAGGCCCTGGTAAAAATCTGGGGAAGGTACCAGGTCTTGGAGGAGGGAGTTTCCAGGTCATGGAGCACCTGGAATGGATCTGGAGCTGGTCCTTCAGCTAAGCTGCCTACAACTTTGTGTGACCAGTGTTGTGTGGGATTAGAGGCCACATGGATGTGGACTTCTTTCTTCATATTTCTTTTCTAGCAAATGAAGAAAGGCACCAGGCATTTGGTAGCAAGACAACAGATGACACTTTGAGGTATGGGTAAAATAGGGGTTTGTATGAATGCATCAGATTTAGAACAGAGCCTGTGTGTAGCAGCATAAACAAGTTGCGTGCTTTGTAGTTTTAAAAGAATGAATGAATGAAAATTAAGTGAGTCAGATTCCTAAGTGAGTAGGAACCATTAAGTAGGATACACTTCCACACATTTCTTCTGTCTGTCAGTTAGTATATGGGCAGGAATGTCTGCTGTTCATTGCTCCCGGAGCCAACTCCCCAAGCAGCATGTGCAACAGTGTGTGCCATGTCCTGTTATGCTGGCAGAGTGGCAAATCCTCTTAAGTGTAGCAGTTCTCAGCTTCTTGCCCAACTGACATTGGAGGATTGGATTGGATCAGAGGTTTCAGCAGGAAATCTGAAACATAACAAGTAAAACTGCTCTGGTAAAAGCAAGGCCGAGGCTGGAGCCCGAGGTCCTCATCCCTGGCTCCCCAGTGACCCTCTTAATTCCTTGACAGCTGTGCACCTCTGGGCTCATCTCATCTAGACTGCTGTGTTGATTGCCAGTCAATCAGTTGATGGCTGGAGGAGGGGCCATGGCTGCAGGGGCTCATGCTATTTATGCTTTGGTCCAGGGTCCAGGGGAGTACAGGTCATGTCCTTGAAAGCAGCTTCTTACCATTCTTTTCATGAGACCTTCATTTAGGTTTTTTTTCTCTTTTTTTTTAAATGACTATAGTAGCTTCTTGGCATATGGCCCTGAAAAAGGACATTGGTTGACTCCCTATGTCTTATCTTTACCTTCCTGTTTGGTTGATTTGGTTCAAGATGCTACTTTGTACTTGCTCACCTGGAGCAGGAGCAATTGCTACCTGGAGGAACATTCTACTCAGTTTGCCTCTAAAGGTTACTCCTGCCTAGCAAGCTCTAAGCTCAGAGTTCAAACTCTAGTACCATAAAACAGCAATAACAAAGGTTGCCCCTGATTGGGTGTATAGATTTTGAAGGACTGAAAAACAATGAGCTGGGGCCAGCACAATTTTGTGGCAGGAGGAATCCTGTTCTGCAGCCCTCCTTCTCTCCAATGTCCTGCTCTTCTGGGCTATGTTAACTCTCCCTCTTAGAAGCTGTCCCATTAGCATTCCCTGAGAGCTGAGTGGAAGTTGGCACCTCTGGGGAAGTTGGTGAGGTGGGGAGCACCCTGCAGTCAATTTGCCCTCCTCCTGGATGAAAACCGAGGGCAGGCAGTCTGGCTGTTGGAGGGAATGTGCCAGAAAGTGGGGTGGGCCACGCAGTCAGTGGACTTCACTGTTTGCTTAGAAGATGCTAAGCTAAGCCCCTTCACAAGTTATAAAGTGAGTTTAAAACACAAGTTTGGCCTAAAAAAAAAAAAAAAGATGTCACTTGATTTTTTTTCTTAAAAGTAGGGGGAGAGGAAAGGAGTGGTCGTCTTTGTAAGTAATTTTCATGTGACTTTAAGAACTGTATGTGAAAAAGTTCCCATGAATATTAAAGATGTAATATATGGGAACGTAGTAGGTCTTTTTTTAATTTTAAGGAATATCCACAATGGAGTAAATATGATGGTAACAGATTTCCTTTATAAATGAGTGCATAGGAAGAGGTAAATTTGGAACAAATGGGGTTGTGCTGTTTTATAATTTGAGGTCAGGCTGTCCTGATGTCTGCACCCACAGGAATTCTGCTAGTGTTCCCTGAGGCAAATGTTGTGCACACTGAGCAGTAGTTTATTTTCACGGCGGGGGTGGGGGTGAGGCGGAAGAGTTGTGTTTTCTCATTAGGTGTCATGTTTGAGTGTGGTCTCACTGACTGCACATCTGAAATCCTGTGTGGACCGTGATTTCAGTGGGCAGCTTGGTAGGTGGGCGGCTGCTGTGGTGAGCTGGTGGCATGGGCAGTAGGTTTTCTGGCACGTTTTGTGAAACAGTTGGATGAGTGAAGTATGAATGAGGCTTAGAGCCCTGCTATTTCCATCAGTAAAGGATGGAGCTAGGAAGCCCTTGTTTTGGTTCAAAATGATGGTTTTAATTAGAAAAAAAAGTCCATATGTTAATATCACTGTCACCTAGAGTTTAGGGGAAGCGGTATGCTTTATACCACTGGTTGCACTGTATTGTCCTTTGGAATCAACCTAGCAGCGGGATAAGCTATAAAATCTACTTTTGGGATAATGTCCCATGGTAGTGAGGATAAATAGGATAAAATAAATGTCAATGTCTTGACGGCAGGAAATGGTCAGGGTGACTTATTAACATTATGCATACCACACAGCCTGTAACTGTGCAGCCATGCTAACAAAAGAGATTGGAAATGACCAAGGTGCAGAGAACACAAAACAGAAGCATGCTGATTGCAACTTTATCATTTTTTTTAAAGAAAATCGAAGTGAAACAGAAAGGACATGATATATTCACTGTGGGTTCTAAATTTTTCTCTAAAGTTGGCCAAATTCATTAAAAAAAAAAATGGGCTGAAGTAATAGCACTGATTTTCTATCATTGCCATGGTGGCCTGAAGTTCCAAGATTTTGAGCAGTAGCACAAGGCAGTGGCTCACTGATCTGCCCAACAACCAGCTCAGTCACACTTGGGGAAATATTAAAATAGACTCCTAGATGCCCCCAGCCCGGGCCTCATGAGGAGTGCTGTGTATTTCATAGAGTCTCAAACACCAGCAGTTACAAGACACACCTTTATTTTTGAACCATTAAGAAAAATGTGCCAATAACTATGAAAATGCTTATTGTTTAGACTTTAATATTTATTGAGAGCTTTTAGACTTCTTCATACATATTTATATCCTGTCACAGTTCAGGTAGATTTCCATCCTATCACACTTAATTTGTATGCAAAAAGGAAAAGAAAGGTGAGATTCCTAAAACTTCAGATCTGACATTCTACATCACATTTTGACCCAGAGTTGTCCTTGTCTGTGTTTTCCCAAACAGTGTCATCCTCTGTGCCACAGTGAGCATTAGTGATACGGCACTCCTGAAAAGCATAGTCCATTGTTGGCTTCAGAATTTTTTTTCCAAGGAGTCAGGCAATGACAGCACATCCCAGCTGCTATTTACTGACAGTGATTGGGAGGTGCATTTTGGGCATCTTAAAATCTACTCAGAATGGACATTTGGAGGAGGCAGCACCCTGCCTGGATGTTTCAGTCAGACCCAATGTTTAAATCTGATTATGTCACATTATGGCTTCATGACATCGTCAGCTGGAATGGGGCCCCCTGTTGGGCTACCTTGAAAAAAAGTCAGCAGACCTCACTGCTGTAATGAATCAAACATGAATTTCTAGTTTGAGTAGGGTTGAAGGACATGTGCACACTTCTTCTGTGTACAGTATATCAGCACTGTAATTAGTTAGCATCATCTCTGAAAACCAGAACCATAGGGCTCGCTGGCCAGAACAACCAATAACTCATCTTAGCTGAGGTTTCCAGTGATGAGGAAAGTTGGTGACAGGAAGAAATTGGGATGGGCTCTAGAGTCTTTCTGACACAAGAACTTTGAGAGAGCACCCTCAGCCCAGCAAGCTAGAAATAGGCATTAGCCTTACAGAGCAGTTTAAAATAATCCCCTGGACTGTCTGCATTAAAAGAAGAAAGAAGAAGAAGAAGAAGAAGAGGAGGAGGAGGAGGAGGAGGAGGAGGGAGGAAGAAGAAGGAAGAAAAGAAAAAAACAAAAAACTGTGCCTATGATACAGCATTGTTGGAGTATTTGGTTTGCACCTTGAGGCAAAGGCCTGACACTGCCTCCTCTCATCTAAACCTCTGGCCTGGGTCCTTCCTCTCACTGAACCACACTTTTGGGTGGGAGGTGGGGCTTCCTTGACTTTCTGGCATACTCAAAGCCTATATGCCACTAATCATCTTCTTGTGATCTAAATACCCAAAAGAGGTTTTATGAACTACTTTTCCTTTGACTGCAAAATGGTGGTTTCAGTGAAGAAGGGTTCCTTCTAGTTGGTGTCTTTGTGGAGTCAATTCATGGAGATTGTTTCTCTTGGCAAACTGAGTAGCTGGGTAACTGACATGGACACCAGTCAAGCCAGACAATAGGAAAGAATTTTTTGAGTGACCAGGCTTCTAAGTCCCTGAACTCCTGGACTGAGATGCTGGATGCAGGGGTGAGGACATGGCTAAAACACTGAGACCTCAAACCCACCTTTCTTCTCCCGTGATGTGACACAGGAAGCGGGAGCTCTTTTGTCCATTTCTCACATCTGTGTTGCTGCCAAGAAGCCTAGACATGCACCTCTCCCAAGAGAGGCTAGGCTTTCACCGGATCAGACTCGCCCAGGAATATGGTGGAGTAAGAGATCAGCATCTCTGACCTTGTTGGCTCACACTGGAGAGGGTGCCCCTGGGGGCAGAGGGGCACTGAATCCTCCCCAAAGCATTTTCAATGTGCATCCTGTCGGGAAATACAGCCCGAAACTCTTGGACCCTTAAAAAATTCTCTAGTCCTGTGATGAGCTTTGCTGGCCACTGCCCAAGCCCTCCTAAATTGCCCCTTGATAACCGGGCCTCCAGCTCACCTTCAGC